AAATGCCTCTTGTTGCTGTGGTGGAGCCAGTAGAGGTTTAAGTGGAAGCAGCTGAAAAACCTGCAATTAGTATTACAAGACACCAGGACTATAAACACAGCAAAGCAGTTCACTCCAGTCGCTCTTACTTGACGACTATTGCTGTTGAATTGGATAAGATTTATCCTATTCCTGGCTGTAAATCTAAAGGAAAACGCTGTGTTACTATTGACGATGTATTTGAGAAAGCTTACGAAGCAAACCCAGAACCAAAACCACAGTTCAAGAACAGATACAAGCGACTGAATGATTTCTATACTACTGATGAATGGAATATTCTTGAAGAGTTGAATAACGCCGTAAATCCAAAACTGCATTCGGTTTTACCAGTTCTTTTCGATGGCCATTTCAAAGAAGTCATTCTTCCGATTGAAGTTAGTCACTTGGGACCAGGGTATCAAAGAATTGCAGAAAAGTCAAACGTCGTGTCTGATGCTTCATACTTGATTGTAAAGAATGAAGGGGGTGTTTCCGGGGGTAGTCCAGACGCAGATAAAAAACTTTAATTTGAATAGAATGGATACTTTTACGTTACGATCTCCGTAAATGACACTGTCGGTTTTACTGTTTCACAGAAAACTACCAATTATCCAAACCATAAAGTAAAAACATAATCCTTGGATATTTTTGACCATTCGTGTTCTTCCAACTCATATACCGATTTGAACAACTTATAACCAAATTCAATGGAAAGCACCAGTTAAAAAAACTGGTATCATTCGGTGCCCTATATATACTACTTTTTTACTAGTTGACAATCATCATTTTTAAGCAAATACAAATAATTGGTTATTGAATCTGATTAAATGTAACAACAGTTTATGGAAGAATTCTAAATTCAACCCATGGAATTAAAAAAGTTATTTAAAATCATTAAAAGTATATTATTATTTTTGGCTCACAGACACGATAAACTGAATGTTATTGGACCGTCATCTAGCAGATCGTACTAAGAATTTTAGCTCCAAATTCCAGGCTGAGTGCAAGATGATCAAGCGCCGCATCTGCAACCATTCCAGCAAGCCAATCTTCTCATCGTACAAGTGCAAGAAAATGTTGACGACCATTAGCTACGTGCCTATTGCGGCCGGTGATGCCAGCATGATATGGTATCTGTGTTCTTAGCAAGCTTGAGATTGCAGAGTGTTGTCGTGATATCACCAATGACTTGGACGCCGACCTAATCCTTGTGATTTTGAGCAAAGCCGAGCTTGAGGAACAAGAGATGTTTATCAATTTACTGCCCATTAACCAGTCGCTTAGAGATCCAAAAACTGCAGCAGACTGGATTCTCTTTGTCAGTGTTGATGGTTGGGATATACTTGACACACTGCCAAAGTCTAATGAGATTCAATGAACAAACCAATTTAAAATAAAATCTATTACTACAATAGTTGTTATTTCAGCTATATTGATTTTTTACAATTTGGATTAGATTGTATATATTATAATATCAGTGCGTAGCAACTTTTTTGCTTGATATTTAAAAAAACGTTCAAGCACTTATTCTACTGCTTTGGGTTTAAATAATTGAGCTGCTTGTTAAAATTAGCAAGCCAATATACTAAAATAGTCAAAAGCTGAATCTAATCGACTTGTTTTCAGTTAGTCCACAATAGGGCTTACATTTATCCATTTAAACAGTTTAAAATATTAAAGTAAAAACTACTTTATTCATCAGAAACAAGTTTATACAAATGGTCCAGTGAGCATAGTTGTTTGAGAACATCCCTTACAATGTTACAATGATTTGGAAGTGCTGCTAGATACCCAGTAGATGATGATCCTACAGGTGAACTTGCAGGCTCTTGATCCCATTCATCAACCAAAATATGACGTAACCGTGAGGGTGCAATCAAAGCTGCAGATTCGGTAAGTGAATGCCACAACAGCGATAGTCTCATACTTTGACTTCCTTTTAATATCCATCCCGACGAGAGAGGAAGAAATGGCACAAGATTCTGTTGACCAAATGAAATAACTGGAAGTGGAACACGATGGTGAGAAAGCGTAAATATCGCACAAGGCACCGAATCTTCACACCAAACACCATCACCCTGTTTGTTCAATGGTCCAAAAGGTGCAGATCCACATGGTCGAGAGCATTGCAAAGCACTACACGTTGATATGCAAAACACAGAAATGGATACAATACAGGACACAGCTGGTTTTTGCATACAAGATCTACTACTTTCAGAATCCAAATCCAATTCAATCGGAACATCTGACGAATCTCCAATTTGAGAATTCGGTTGGTATCGAGTCTCAACTACGTTCTTGTTGAGTGGTGTCTGAGTCGTATCAATCCCCAGTGTCTTTCAATGGATTCGTCGACTCTTG